GAGATCCGTCCCTTGATTTCCTTTAGGATAGCTTGGCTATCCTTGTTAAACGCATACTTTGGGGAGTATGGTTTGAATTCTTTCCTCTTCTTCTGGGCCGGCTGTTTAGAGGAATCAACCGCCCAGACCTCTTTTCTCTTCTTCTCATCTTTGTTCGACGACTGTTTCTGTCGTTCTTCTCTTTTATCGAACCTTTTCCCGTCCGACTGTTTTCCCGTACTACAAAGATCATTCGCCTGTATATAGGCTTCTGCTTCAATCAAGGCCTCTTGAAGAGTCGCCACCCTCTTTCGAACCAAATCAAATTTGAATGTCGACCCGTCTTTGAGGCCGCTGAAAAAGTCAGTATAGGCTACCTCATCCGGTAACCCTTGAATCTGTATTCTCATCAGGTTAAACCGCTTGATGTAAGAACGAAGCCCCTCCTTCTCGCCCTGCTGAATCGTTCCTAAATCAAGGGTCGTCTTCTTCGCAGGTATGTTCATGGCAAAGTTGGAGGTGAATAAGTAAGCAAGCGTCCTGAAGTTATTCACACAACCAGTCGGCAGGTTGCCGAACCATTGTTGTGAGATTTCTTTGAGAGTCGCTGGAAAACACTTGCACCAAGTGGGATCATCCAACCCTTGAAGGTATATCAGGTTGGTGAATGCCATCAAATGGTCTTCTGGGTTAGTAGTGCCGTCATAGGCGCCTACTAATACATTTTTCACTTTGGCCGGCTGAGCGGCTTCAGTAATTTCCTTGGAGAAGGCCGACGGCTGTTCCCCAAGTCTAAGCAACCGTAGCTGCCAGTCCATAGGTTAAACATTCTTTGCTGCATGCCCTCCAAACAGAGGTGGCTGCAAAAAATATTGTTGTTGCGGTAAAAATGGTAAGTTTGGTACCGCCTGGTCACTATGAAAGCCGGACTGACGGGAGGTACCGCCTGACTGACTCTCATGATGCGAATGAGTATACCTCATCGAGGTATTGCGTAGACTGTCTTGGAATTCTGAAGTAGAGGCCGACTCTGACAATCGGTCATTCTCCTTCTGCTCTAGCAATAGCCGAGCATCTGTGTATGTTTTCTTCGACCCGTCCGCCTGAATATGACGAACAGGTTTCCTCTTTCCTGGAGTAGGAAAGCGGTACTTTGTGAAATCAAGGACATGCGGTTCCCACTTCCTAGAGTTAGGATGAGGGGTCGCCTCTCGCCCTTGAACAAGCTTCCTGTTCCCTGAAGAGGAAGGTTTCTTAGCCGACTGCTCCTTGGCCAGAGCAGGCGGCTTCTTGTTGAGCAACTCTTGAATCTCTCCCTTGAAGCCCCTCATGAAGGTCATGAGTTCGTTTCTTGTAATGGGAGCAGACCCATCAGCCGGCTGCTGCTGAACAGGTGGTGCGCCGGCTGGATCACTGAGTCCAGTTTGAAGATCTTCCCGTTCTCTCCTTTCGGTATGTCGGGTGCGTCGGGCCCTTAGGGTCCCGTCTGAAGCTGTGTGAGCTTCAACTTCAAATTCTTCCTCAGTATCATGGTCCGACTGAACTTGAGGGTCGTCCAGGGGACGCCTCTCTTCAGGAGTCGGTACAGACGTGGATGCCATCTCAGAAGTACTCTCCCCACAGACGGCGCCAAAATGTTTCGGGGTTTTCTGATGTCCTGCGGGAGAGTAACAATTCTGAGACTGGAACCGGACGCCTGCACCTGCAAAACAAACGGATGCTCCGGACGATTGGAGATCCGCCTCCGACGGTCAAGTTAGTACTTGATTAAGGAGTAATTAATGCGGAAATAAAAGTAATTGGGTCTCTCTAGGTGAGAGTGTTAAATGTGCGTCCTCTCCCTTAATGAGGATTAATGGGCATATTTATATGCCTTGGGATGCGTGCCAGTACTAGGTTTAGGTTAAACCTAAGGCTGAATGGGCCTCCCACAATGATTGGGCCTTGTTGGCCGGTTTTCCCATTTGGCATGGGTGGACACGTGTCACATTGCAATTGGTCCAAGGAGGACGAATCTCTTGATGACACGTGGCAGGCTCCTATTGGACTACATGAAGGACACGTGGCGAAACCTGGCTGGCCCACGTGTCGGATGCTGATTGGTGGATAAAAATCCTTTAACTAATTATCATTAGTATTATTATTGTTATTGTTATTATTATTATTATTATTATTATTATTATTATTATTATTATTATTACTATTAATACTATTAATATTATTATTGTTATTATTGTTATTTTTATTAAAATTATGATTATTTGTATTATTATTGTTATTATTATTGTTAAATTTAAAATAGTAATCCTTGCGTTTTTTATTTGTTTGTATTGTTATTTTGATAGGATTCGGAGGTTGAAGACGACGGTGACGTTGTGAATTACAGTGCACATTTTGTGACAGACACGGTTTTTCTAACGTTTGACGATGCAGTTACATGGGCGGATGCTGTTGCAATAAATCTGGGATTTATTTTGGTGAAATCGTCTTTCAACAAATAGAGGGATGGTCGACCAGTTCGATATTTAAGATGTGACCGGGGACACAGGAGTAAGCCGAGAGATCTTGAGAACGCAATTCGGAAGGACACCAAAACCAAGGGCATTGGTTGTCCTTTCTACATCAAGATATGTTACGAGTTCGTCACCAATACTTGGTTTATCCGGGCGAAAGATGATGTAACTGGGACCCACAACCATCCAATGATTGCGTATCCAGAGGGTCATCGTAAAATTAGTGGGTTGAGCCCGAATGCGAAGCAGGTTGTGCGTGACATGATGAAGTCTAAGGTTGCATCACGTAACATCATGGCGACTATTGCGGAGCAATTTCCTGATGATCATCCAAACATCAGACACATCTACAACTGCCGGAATGACTTCAGAGAGGAGATGTCTGATGGGAGAGGAGTTGTTCAGCAATTTCTACATTTGGCGAGACAGAGTCAGTATGTTTACTGGGTCATGTCCGATGATGAAGGCGTTTTACAGCACGTCTTTATGGCGCATCCAGTCATGGTAGACATCCTACGGACGTACGCCTATGTGATCGGTATGGATTTCACTTACAAGACTAACCGATACGGGATGCCGTTCTTTGAGATAGTTAGCGTGACACCAACAAATCAGAATTTTCTCGTCGCTTACGTGTTCATGCGCAACGAGAGCACGACAAGCTATCAATGGGTTTTGCAGAGGTTGAGAGACGTGATTGGGTATAATAAGGAGCCGTCGGTTTTCTTGACAGACCGTGAGCTTGGGCTATGTGCTGCATTGAGGGAAGTGTTTCCAGGAACCTCGCACTTACTTTGTCGATGGCACATTAACAAAGACATGGAGGCTCGGGTCACTGCTATGTTCAAAAGCAACAAAATCGGTGCGTCTTTCAAAAACGGAAAATGGAAACGTATCATGGACACTGCAACCGAGGAAGATTATGAGGCCGCTGTAGAAAACATGAAAGATAAGTGGGCAAGTTTTCCAGCAGTGATACAATATGTAGAGAACACATGGCTTTGTCATAAAACGAAGTTCGTGACATTTTGGACAAACCAAGTTCTACATTATGGAAACACCAGCACTTGCAGAGTTGAGAGCCAACATTCGGCCGTGAAGATGTGGTTTGATTCCTCGACAGGTTTGGTGTAAGATTATTGAACTTCATGTATGTACTTTATTTTAGGAATTTGAGTTACAAATCATAACGGTTTTTCTTTGTAATGTGCAGGTTCTTTAGATACCGTATGGGCTCGAGTTCATAGCCACATTGGTAATCAAATCATCGCAATTCGTAATGGTTTGGAGGCTTCTAGGTCGAAGATAGGTCAAAAGTACCGACAATTGCCACTGTCACGTATAAATGGGAAGGTGTCTCAGCATTGTTTGAAGGTTCTCGATGAGGAGACAAGGAGGATGAGGGAGCTGAGTTATCAAGTGCACGAACGATGTGGATGTGCAATGCGTGTGACCCACGGGTTTCCCTGTGCATGCCAAATACATGATTCGCTAGCTGCTGGGACAGGATTGTACATAAGGCAAATTCACCCGTTTTGGAGGACCTTGGTTATTGGTTCTGGAGATGGTGGGACGGTGCCTGACAATGACTCGACCGAGGATGCCGCACATTTTCGTTCTCTGATGGAGGAGGTGTTTGATAGTGATCCTGCTGTTCTTCGAAACGTGTCTTGCATCATTGAAGAGGAGCTGCATCCGGATCATTCCGATCTCAGAGAGCCTGCTGTAAACCACCGGGTTCGTGGTCGACCAAGAAACAATGATACAAGACGTGATCGTTCTTATTTTGAACATGTAAACCGCCAACACACTGAACGCGGCGCACGACAAACAGGTACGATTGAGTGTTGTGTTTTTCACATAAATCAGCGTTCACTAAACTATTAACTGAAACCTACATTTGTGCAGGAGATGTAAACGACATTAGCCAAAGCCGTTATCGACACATGCTTCCAGGGCCGATGTTGCCTTACATCACAGGATGGAAGGATGTCATTGGCGATGGGAACTGTGGGTTTCGTTGTGTGGCCGAGTTCTTCTTCGGTGATCAAGGTCGATGGTATGACGCTCGAGAGACAATAACGAATGAGGTCCTCGGTTATCGAGCCTTATATGAGAGGATTTATGGGCTTGGAAGACTTGAGATCAATGTGCAGCGTATTCGATGGGACGGTGGGGCGGTTGATTCCCGTCATTGGATGGTTGCAATACAAGATTTATTTCCTATTGCGACTTGGTTCAACGCAGCGGTTATTATTCTTGGTGTAGGCCAAACACCAACTTGCTACTACCCATGCCTCACGATATTGCCGTTGCGGGCAAGAAGGGGGGTCACAGCACCGGAGCGAGAGTTTGTCATCGCTACAGTTGGGGCCTCACATTTTATTTGTATTGAACTTGCACCTGATTCGCCACTTCCCCCGGTTGCAGGTTGGTGGACTGAGCACCACGACCCAAGTGTTGACAGTTGGGATCAGCGTTACGAAGCTAGAAGGAACATGCGGGATGCCTTAATTAGATAGTGAACATGTTGTTGTACTTTCATTTATGTTAAACAGTTGTCGTTATGTAATTTGCAACGAATTGAACTTAATTAAACAAAATATTTACAAAACCACCAAAACAGTTGTTCAATACTTAAAGTACGTGACGAATAAATAGTACATAAACGAAATGCGTACAAGGGAAATAAAAAAAACACAGGAAGTTCACAACCCCATCATCGCCCTCCAATAAGCTCGTAGCGCCTCAGCCATTGATCTTGTATCACGCGATAGGCTCGGATACTCCTCCAGGGTCCTGTTGATGACCTCCATAGACCGACCCATCCACTTTAATTAAAAAAACAACATATTAAATAAATCACAAGTTTTTTTTTAAAAAAACAACATATTAAAAAAATCGGATTTTAAAAACAACATATTATAAACAACATATTAAAATAGCAACTTATTAAATTATACCAAAAAATACAACTACTTACGTAATCCGTGTTAGTTCTCTCTGGCAGTGTGCGACTCTCATGTGATGACGCAACTGGAGAAACACGTGGATGAGAAAATCGGTACAACCACTGCATGTAACCAGGACCGACTGTAGGAGCACCACCACCAAGTCTGCTGAGGGCACCTACCACGACACTAAAAGACATACCAGGGACAAACCGAGTCCACATCACAGATGTCGTCTCTAACGGAAAGTCAACCCGATACATCTTCAAGTTCGTCGGTCTCTTAGCCTTCTCAGGCCTGATAATGGCTGGTGGAATGCCCTGGACGTATCCAAGTTGCCGAACCACTCGATCAGGCATGTATGGCTCAATGATGCTACGATACTGGATGCAGCCAGTGAAAAGAGTAGCAGGCACGCGTCGTGCTGGATCAACTCCGTACGGTAGCCAGTTAACTTCATTGTCAGTCAAATGATCCAACCTAGCCCGAAAAGCGAGAAGGCGCTCCATGCTCTTGTTAGGGCACCCCGATCCAACATCCCAGGCGGACGCACGAGGAATAGCAAGCTCTCTGGTCAAGGTCCCCTGCTGAGGCCGGAAACACGGAAAGTACTCGTAGATCCACGCCTGCAGAAGCGTAAGGCAGCCAACGATAGAATCAGCATCTCTTCGTGATGCTGTACCAAATTGCCGGTACATGTATGCTAGCACAGCAGAACCCCAGGAGTACTCACTACTCTGAACATCCTCAACAAACAGCTCGTTAAGGAAGGAAGGATGAGTACGGTTTCCACTCTTGTCCAAAAACAAACAACCGCCGAGTACTAACCACAGGGTCGCCCTGTAATGGAAACTGAAGGGCCTTTGCGCCTCCAAGGTCGACTCCACTATCCTCTCAGTCAGGACCCCACTACCCTGCCATACGGTTTTGGTACCGCACTTCTCATTCAGCTCTTCCTCAGTCATATCCAAGGTAACCGAGCACGCGTCCTGTAAAACGTCTGTGCTAGGAGTAGTGGAAACCATGGAACCGTCGACACGAAGCCCTAGAATATGATACACATCATGCAGCATGATCGTGATCTCCCCAAAAGGCATGTGAAACGTGTTCGTGTCTGGCTGCCATCTCTCAACAAAAGCAAAAATTAAGGGCCAGTCAAATCGCCGGAACATGATCCCGGGTAAATGAGATAGACCAGTGCCATCAATCGGTTCCAGGTGCTCCGACGGAAGACGAGCGCGCCAGTTACCCAATTCAGAACACAAATGTGTCCTGCTCAAACACCGCAGCATGTTTCGCTCCTGCCCACCCCATATGTAGGCAGACACGTGACCCCCAAAACTCGGAATAACGGTACCATCCTCAGGCCCACCTGACATCGGCTCCTGCACCACCCATGACTCTAACGAGCTGGTAGAATCTTGACCTGGTTCACTACTGCTAACATATCTCCCATGGTCACCCCTATACACAGTACGGTAATCCTGAGGGTCGTACTGTGCATCTCTAGCAGATTGACTTCCTCGATCTTCATCCTCATCCTCATATGATGAAGGCACTCCAGTAGACGAATACATGGGGGCGCTCCCCTGTGACTGGTGCTCCCCCGACCAAGCACCAGCAGTCCCATACTGCTGCTCATGCTGAAACGGTGCATGTGAAGGTCCTGCACCACCTAACTCCCTCCTAACATACGCATTCAAACGTCTTGATCTTGCATGACGAGGACCAGAACCCTCAATCTGCATTAAAAAAATAAGTACAGAATCATATTTCAATAATAATTCATAGTAAAAAAAAATCAAATCAAAACTATAATAAATCAAATCAAATAAACAATAATAATAGCATTACAAATAATAACAATAATATTATTCTTACAATACTAATACACTACTAACAATAACAACACACTAACACACTACAAATAATTTTTTCAACACAATAACAGACCAAATCAAAACTATAATTAACCACAAAACTGCCAAAATTTAAACGCAACAACGACAATCCAATAAAAAAAAACAATTACAATAACAATAACAACAATTTAAGTAAACAACCATAATACATAACAACAAAAGCAGCAAAAACCAATACAAACCAAACCAAATTTACATAACAATAACAATACATAGCAACAACAAACTTACTTTAATGCTAAACTATAATTATTGTAAAACTATAATTATTGTAAAACTATAACTATTGTAAAACTAAATCAACAAAAATTACATATCAATAACTATTTAGGGTAAAAATTACCCATGACAAATGGATCAATCCGGACCTGCCACGTGTCCACCACGTGGGCCAACCAGCGTCCGCCACTTGTCACCCTAAGAGGTCCAATATGGACTAATCAGGCCACGCCACGTGGCCTCCCATATGCCAAATAAGCAAAATGGCCACCAAGGCCCAAAGTCCGAGAGAAGCCCAATTTGCCCTGGTAAACCTAAACCTAGGATTGACACGCTTCTCAAGACTATAAATACTTAATTAATCCTCATTAAAGGGGATTCAGCAATTGATGACTCTCACCTAGAGAAGTCTAAACACATTGATCACTCCTCCCCTAGAGGAACCAGATCTCCCACCTTTATTTTCCGCATTTATTACTCCTCAAACAAGTACTAACTTGACCGTTGGAGGCGGAGCTCCCACCACAAGGAGTCTCCGTTGTTTTGCAGGTACAGGCGCAAGGATACCAGTCCCAGAATTGTAACTCTCCCGCAGGACATCAGAAAACCCCGAAACATTTTGGCGCCGTCTGTGGGGAGAGTACTTTCGAGATGGTATCACAGTATGTACCGGTTCTAAGTGAGAAGCGTTCCATGGACGACCCCCTGGTCCAGTCAGACTAGGATACCGACGAAGAATATGAAGTTGAGACTCACACGGCCCCTGACGGGTCCCTCAGAGCTCGACGCACCCGTCCCATCGAAAGGAGGGAACGGGGAGACTACCTGGCTAAATCTAGTAAACCAGCCAGCCCGCCGCCTGATCATCAACAGGCGGCCGAGGGATCTGCCCCTATAAACAGGAATGAACTCATGGACCTCATGAGTAGTTTCAAAGGAGAGATCCAAGACTTGATCAATAGAAGGGTGCCTGTTCCTGCAAAGGAACAGTCGGCCAGAAGACCCTCCCAATCTGGGAGGAAGAACCTGCAAAGGATCGGGAGGCGACTACTCACCCTAGACCTAAGGGGAGAGAGGCGCCAGTGATCAACCTAACAAAGTACCGCTTCCCTTCTCTAGGGAAGAGGAAGCCCATCCGCCTTATTCAACTGGATTGATCAAGGAAAACATACTCTGATGCTCGAATGATAATCGAGCAAAAGAAGAATCACCAACTGTCAGAGTCGGCCACTACTACCGATTTTCAAGACAGTCTGCATAATACCTCCATGAGGTATACCCAATCAAATTACGAGAGCCAGATAGGCGGCACCTCCCATCGGTCTGGATCCCATAAAAACTAGTCGGCCCCGCATGTGCCACAAACGCCATACGGCCGAATAACAGGAGTCGGATGGTCAAGCTTGTAGGCTATTATTATTATCAAATCATTATTATGATTTTGAATTAAAAAAAAAAAGAAAAAAAAGGGCGACTTGTTTCTTTAAATCTGTTGAGTGGGGCTGTGCTACTTGCAACGAAAGCCAACTAATTTCACACTCCAATACACCATAAACGCCATCATTAATTCCCAAGTATTTGCTATGCTTTATGAGCTGGTCCACTCAATTTGGGGATCATGTCAGGCGGCAAAACTCCACTAGTTTATTAACTATTTTATTAATTAGTGGAACAAGCTTGTCCATTATCTATTCGTCTTTCATTTTCTATATAGAGAAGCTAGCTTACTTGCATTATGAGAAAAGACAAGTGTAAAGTTAGATGGGAAAGCAACTCACTTGTGTATCCTAAGCGGCACCTAGGCATCGTTCCTCAAGCTATCAAGCAAGAGGCAGCCAGCCATGTTAAAGTAGGCGACCTTCACAACAAACGCAACAAGTGTACGTATAGCTTGGTTGGTTAAATTTAAACAACTAGCATCAAGTGTACGTATAGCATCAAGTATAAGGTGTTTGACAACACGGCCGCAAAACAGCCAACCTAATCCGAGCCATCAAACAGCCAGTGATAAATGAGGATAGCCTTGAGAAAGCTAGATGAACTTGAAGAAATGACGTTTGTGTAACACTCCTAAAGCCGATTGCGGTACGACGCTAACAAACAAGTCCTCGTAACCATGAAAGAAGCCGGCATGCTCCACATGTAACCTCAAGCTAAGTGATTCTTGAATCTCGAAGTATCATGGGCAAACAACAGAATATCAAACGGCACTCCAAGAACAAGCGACTCTAAATGCCGAGTCGAATGAGTTCGTGTGTATGTACAAAGTAGGCGGCTGTATGTATGTAGGGGAAGCACTGTACCACCGGCTGTTAAGCCATCAAGAGAAGCTAACAAACCCCCCTTTCTCTCATACAAGCAGCAGCATCATACCATCAATAACCATTATGGTGATTAATACAAGCGACAAGCGTATGATTGAGTGTGTACCGTTCACACTTAGTGTATGAAGACCATCTAGATATGGCGATGGGCGAGTAAACTTACCTTGTGGGAGCAGCCAGATGCCGGCACTCTTTAATGAACAGCGACTAATATATAATTGGCAAGAACGCTATGAGGACAGCCGACACATCATGGCAAAATAAACCGGCCTTATCACCAATTGTATCACTTGCCTAGCTTACCAACTAAATTGCTGAGAGCCGATGGCGTTCAGCCCAGCCCCAGCCAGGCGCATGTGTTAAGTACACCGACTCACCTAAAACAGTCGGCACTTGGTTGAAAAGGCATGAGCTCAAACTCAAACTCAAGTAAAATGCAAGTAAAATGTTGAACTCAAACTCTCGGTTGCCGGCTACGCACCTTGGTTATTAATGGTGTCCGAAACCGTTTAACACCAAAAAGTTCCTTGTTTGAGAATGTGCAAGACGATATCTCAATGTCGAACTTCAAGCTAGCTCTAATAAAGCAGCATATGCGAGAACGAGAGAATGTTATGCATGGCTGGATACGCAAGATGGGTATGGACGCCTGAATTTGAGAAGTCGTTTGTAAATTTTCAGAATAGGCGGCCCTCGTTGCCATTCCACCATTGAGGCGCCCGCACAAGCCAAGCCGGCCTTAGGCTACAGCCGACATTAGTGGTTGAGCACAGAGATGCACCTAGCTAGTCAAGCCTTTGGCTGTTTAACTACACCTAGTGTCCTCGCTAAACTAATGAAAGCAGGCGTCAAAATACAAGGCTCCCAACTGCCTCAATACAGCCAGCTTTATGACACCTATGCTTGAACAACCGTCTCCTAGGCATCGTTCCTCAAAGCCAGCAGGCGGCAGCCGGCCCCAACCCAGCCACTAAGCACCCGGCCTGCCAGCTCTAAACAGCCGGCTGTTACACGAAAGAAATTATCATCAAGAAAATTATCATGGGTACGAGTACAACTAGCATCATTATGCTAAGCCCAACATCATTATGATCATGCATCGTGATTTTGAAGCTGAGAAGATTGGATGTCTTGCCAAATGAAAGCAAGCGGCATGCCGAATGTCTGGTGGTATGATTATCATGGTTTCGTAGCCTTGGTTTAGGCGGCCTCAATCATTATTATGATAAAAAAAAAAGTATAAGATGCCCTAAAAAATGTTGCCTAAGGTTATTAAACCAGGCAGCATAGGCGGCACTCTATTGAAGACCGTCTTTCTTCGTGGATTACCTCCACTTGTTTGCATGACAGTCTATCAGGCAAGAAAAGCGGCATGAATACTAGCCGACCCCCTATACAATGAAGTCTCGTAGCTATGAAAGCAGCCGACTCTCATTAATAACACCATCCATCCTTTATGGAAGGGAACTAGGTGATCCATCTGCTCTAACACTTGAAATGTTTTCAATACTTGATACTGATTCAGAGGGGCATGCCACCTGTACCTTTACAGTCGGCTACTCTCCATTGAGTATTTTACTCTTTATCTTCAAAGGGGCATGCCGCCTGTACCTTTATGGGCGGCTACTCTCCATTGGTTATTTTACTCCACCAGAGGGGCATGTCGTCTAGACATACAGTCGGCCACTCTCCATAGAAAAGGGACGGCTGTTTCCAAAACAGACAACCACCCCCTTATACTTAGCTAAAAATGATTAGGGCCAGGCCGACCATGTGCCTAAACAAGCGGCTTCCCTCTTCTTACTTAGCACCTACGTTCGCCAAGAACTAACCAAGGCCACAGGCCCGATGATCAGCCCAGGCGCCAGGCCGACTGATCCTCCCTTAAAATTAAACTAATACGACCTGTCCCAACATAATAGCAGGCGTCCGGCGGCATCCCTCCGGATGAAATTCGTCGCAGAGAGCAGCTCCCTTTTGGGTGGAACATTGCTCTATAAACTAAGTACACGGCACCTAGACGACTGTCCCCAAGGACAACCACGTAGCCGTTTTTGAGATAAGGATAACTCTATCACTAACCAAACCAGTGGTAGCAGTTGACATCTGAGTCGGATGACCCCCTGTATTACTTGGGATAAATGCAGGGGGTACCTCTTGAGTTAATAGCCAACAAACATTGGCGAATCAAAAGGTTCAGCCGGCCTCCGCCGCCTGGTACCTTTATTACTCAAGCAGGAGTGACGGCGACTGAGTAACACCAAAGTCAACTCATAGGCACTCCCTCAAACTTGGTATGGAACCTAAAAGGTTTGAGTAGACCGCCTGTTTTTTGGCAAACAGGGGCACTCAAACCCCTATTCCTACTAGGTAACCACTCCTTGAGTTAATAGCCAACAAACATTGGCGAATCAAGGGGATCAGCCGGCCTCCGCCGCCTGGTACCTCTACTACTCAAGCTAGAGTGTGACGGAGACTGAGTAACTCCCATGTTAACTCATAGTCACTCTCTCAAACTTAGTATGGAGCCTAAAAGGTATGAGTCGCCCACCTGTTTTTAGCAAACAGGGGCTCTCAACCACTACTCCTGCTAGGTTAACAACCTTTGAGTTAATAGCCAAGAAAAACTTGGCGAATCAAGGGGACTATCCGGCCCCCGCCGCCTGGCTTCCCTACTACTCAAACAAAAGAGGCCAACGACCGAATAATGCTAAATGCTTACCCTTGTGCAATAGTTGACAGTCCACCTGATCAGGGGCTATCTGCATAGTGGGGCAAAGAATCGGCATCTGTCTAGTTCGGCGGCAATCATTATTATGATTGATTAACCTTGAAAATGTCATACCGCCCAAGGTATCAAAATTTTCTAAGTTAATCAAGTCCATCTCCCATTAGAACTAGACAAGATGCCGACCTAGCAAAGCTTCGAGGGTCTAACTTTCGAAAGGAGCAATCCCTCCTGGAAAGAGAAATTACTCCTTCCGAGGGGCAAATGTTTAGGGTAAAAATTACCCATGACAAATGGACCAATCCGGACCTGCCACGTGTCCACCACGTGGGCCAATCAGCGTCCGCCACTTGTCACCCTAAGAGGTCCAATATGGACTAATCAGGCCACGCCACGTGGCCTCCCATATGCCAAATAGGTAAAATGGCCACCAAGGCCCAAAGTCCGAGAGAAGCCCAATTTGCCCTGGTAAACCTAAACCTAGGATTGGCACGCTTCTCAAGACTATAAATACTTAATTAATCCTCATTAAAGGGGATTCAGCAATTGATGACTCTCACCTAGAGAAGTCTAAACACATTGATCACTCCTCCCCTAGAGGAACCAGATCTCCCACCTTTACTTTCCGCATTTATTACTCCTCAAACAAGTACTAACTTGACCGTTGGAGGCGGAGCTCCCACCACAAGGAGTCTCCGTTGTTTTGCAGGTACAGGCGCAAGGATACCAGTCCCGGAATTGTAACTCTCCCGCAGGACATCAGAAAACCCCGAAACAATAACTATTGCAAAACTAAATCAAGAAAAAAATTATTTTAATGCCACAAATGAAGGACACAAATTACTTCAAAAAAAAAAAAAATATGAAGGACACAAATATTTTCAAATTAAAACATGCACCAAATCAACAAAATCGAGGACAAAAAAAAAATTAAGAAAAACATAAATTAAAAAACAAAGGAAAAACAGAAAACAAAAAAAAAGGTGGAAAAACAGAAAAACACAAAAACCAAAAAAAAAAAGGGAAAAACAGAAAAAAAGAAAAAGGGGGAATAACAGAAAAATAAAAATAAAAAAAATATTCTGGACAAGGGGACTTCCGCCCAGAAATTCCGGAAGTCCAGGGGAACTTCCGGAATTTCTGGGCGGAAGTCCCCTTGTCCAAAATTTTTTTTTTCAAAATTCAAAAATTTAAAACAAAAAAAAAAAAAACTCACCGGCTCGCTGCCGCTAACGCCGCCACCCCGACCACCAAACGTCAGCCTAATTCTCCGTCGGTCTGCCATTGTCGGATTCAACGTTTGATTGCAAGATTTGCTTGTGTTTGAGTAGCCTTCAACTATTTTGGTTTTTTTTTTAAAAAAAAATTCTGATTTTTTTTTTTTTCAAAATTTCAGATTTTTTGGAAGGTTTTAGAGAGAGAAAGTGTCAAAGAGTGATTTTGTGAGATGGGAAATGTCTCGTAAAGCCCTTACTTACTTTATCGAGTATTTATATGCGGAGGGCAATTTTAGAAATTCATGTAAAAAATGTGAACGTCACCTAGTAAAATGCGAACGCGTTTAACAACACCTAACAAAAATCAGCCCTGATACCCCCTAACGGTCCACTATTCCACATTTCCACCTTGATATGAAATTTGAATTTGAAAACCAAAAATATGACCGTTACTCCTTCATCTCCCTTATAAACCCCACCATTTTCCCATCCCCAAATTCAAAATTACCAGATACCCTAAAATCAAAAATCTCTCAAACTCAATTTCCTCTAATCATCAATGGCTGCCACTGCAACATCCAATCTTCCAATGGCTTCCGACCCAGTTCCGACGAAGAAGGGAAGAAGCAGAAAAGCCCTAAAAGAGAAGAACCCATCAACAAATGAGGCTAACATTTTGGCTGGGAAACCATCTGATTCGGTGGATATGCCGGCATTGGTGCCGGAATCTGATTTGACCAAGGAAAACAATGAAACTCTCTCTCATCCTCGGTCTGAGAAGAAGAAATCGAAGGCAAAATCGAAAGCGAAGGCGAAGAAAGGTGAGGAGACTAATGATTTTGAGAAGGATTTGCAAGAGATGCAAGAAATGTTGGAGAAAATGAAGATTGAGAAGGATAAAACTGAGGAGATGTTGAAGGAGAAAGATGAGATTCTGAAGAGGAAAGAGGAAGAGCAGCAGAAGCTTCAGTTGGAGCTCAAAAAGTTGCAGAAGATGAAGGAGTTTAAGCCTACTATGGTTTGTTTTCTTAATTTTCAGTTAAATTTAGTCACATTTTGAGTAAAATTTGAGAATTCTGGGTTTTTGCTGTTAATAATTTGATTGGGATTTTGGGGGTTTGATTGGGTTTCAATTTAGGGTTTTGAATTTGGGGATTTCTGATTTTGATGAATGTGATAAGTTGAAATGTATTTGCTCTTGCAAGTAATTTGGGTTCAGTTTAGGGTTTCTGATTTGGATTCACACATTGGATTATGCTTGTTCTTGCGATAATAAGTCTGGATTTCAATTTAGAGTTTTGAATTTTGTGGTTTTCTGATTTATATATATTTCGAATGTGTTTATCAAATTTCGTTTCAATTTAGGGTTTTGTATTTGGAAATTTTCTGATTTTGATAAAATTCATCAATTGTGATTTATGATCAGACTCTGCCCAACATAAAAGACCAAGAATTAGAGAAGAAAGAGAAGAAAAAGAAGGATTGCTCAGAGAGGAAAAGGCCAGCTGCAGCATATGCCTTATGGTGCAAAGATCAATGGAATGAGGTAAATATATTTACCCCATTTTTGGACCATAATCATATACTCCGTATAATTCATCCCACCATATATTTTATAAACTGATTATATATAGTTTATACCATTTAAATTGGGTTTTTGTGTTATGGTTTAGATCAAGAAAGAGAACCCTGATGCAGATTTCAAGGAAGTCTCAAACATAATGGGTGCAAAGTGGAAGACCCTCACTCCTGAAGAGAAGAAGCCATATGAGGAGAAGTATCAAGCTGACAAGGAAGCTTATTTGCAGATTGTCAGCAAAGAGAAGCGCGAAATCGAAGCAATGAAATTGTTAGAGGAAGAGCAAAAGCAGAAGACTGCAATGGAGCTGCTTAATCAGTACCTTGAATTTAAGCAAGAAGCAGACAAGGATACCAAAAAAACCAAGTATTGATTTCTCTCTTTTTTTTTTTTTTTCCTTTTGTCTGTAATATTGTTTGCTTGCACTTGGATTAATTGAATTAAAGTTGGCTAACTCTTGGATTTTTATTTATTTCTTGAAATCTCAGGAAGGAGAAGGACCCTTTGAAGCCAAAACAACCAATGAGTGCTTTCTTCCTGTACTCGAACGAGAGGCGAGCTGATTTGCTTGAAAAGGGCCATAATTTGCTTGAGGTAATTGAATTATGGTTCAAAATCTATAATATACTCCCTCCACCTGAGAAATCGATTTTCATGTGGATATTGTAATTTGAACTTGTTGTTAACTAAATTCAGAAGAGTAACTAAACTGTGTTGTATGTGATTGATAGGCATCAAAGATCATTGGTGAAGAATGGAAAAACATGTCAGAAGAGCAAAAAACACCTTACCAAAAGGTTAGCTTCTGTTAATACATCACAAAAACCAGTCATCATATGTCTTGTCATTTTCTGTTATTCATTTTAGTTCTGTTTTGACAATATTTTTATCAGACAGCAAATATAAACAAGGAAAGGTACCAACAAGAGATGGAAGTTTACAAACAGAAGAAAGACGAAGAAGCTGCCAGCTTGAAAAAAGAAGAGGATGAATTCATGAAAATTCAGAAAGTCGAGGCTTTACAGCTGCTTAAGAAGAAAGAAAAGGCTGAGAACATCATCAAGGTTGATTACTGTTTTTTCATTCTTAAAATGTATCTTTTGTTTGCTGGTATATGTGAGTAATATGGCTTTGAGGGTTGTTTTAACTCCGGTTTATGATTGCAGAAAACCAAGGAGATCAAGAAGAAGAACAAGGAAGAGAAAATCACTGATCCAAACAAGCCAAAAAGGCCTCCATCTTCTTTCTTTCTGTTCAGGTGAATCATTTTTCGAGCTCGCGTTGTTGAAGATTAAGAGAAGGAAACTAGCTTTAAAATTTGATGTTAAATGTTAAACTGGTTTCTCATTGAAATGCAGTATGGAAGAGAGGAAAAATCTGACTAAGGAGCGGTCTGAAACTAACTACTCCACCATCAATGCACTTATTTCTTTGAAATGGAAGGTAAATTTTCACATGTTCTCTTCTTACAACATAACATATTAATAATGTACATGAAAAATGCATACTTTTTGAAACTTAGCAAATTGATGATTTATTTTATGTTAATCACAGGAACTAAGTGAAGAGGAGAAAAAGGTGTGGAGTGAGAAGGCAGCTGAGAGCATGGTAGCATACAAGAAAGAGCTGGAAGAATACAACAAACAGCTCGAAGCCAAAACCGGAACCGAAGCCAAAGCCGAAACCAAAGCAAGAAAAAGGTGTGGAATGAGAAGGCAGCAAATGATAGTCTTATAACATCCTAGTTTAATTTGCATTGATGTTCAAGCTGTATAGTTGAACATCTTGCATTGAATTTATGAGCTCAGGTTGACCTTTGTGTAGTTAGTCACATTAGATTAACTATTTGTTCAACTGGTGGCTAAATGTTAGATTTCAGTAGGTTGTTTAAAACTAGTATTAGTGATTTGATCATCTAATGAAATTGGTTTCTAACCTACCATCAACTACTCTTGCATAAATTTCTTGCTTATTTAATTCATTGTACTTGGTTTATTTTTACAGCAACAGCCAACAGACGAGAACAAGAACAAGATAAACTCTTCAAATAAGTTTATAAACTTATTGAGAGTTCATAAAAAAAGGCACCACTTAATTATTGTTTAAGGAGTTGAAAAGTATAGAAAAATTGAGTCAAAGGAGTAGGCAATACACATTCGTGTGAAAATGGTCTCGTTGAGAGTGGAGACACAAAGGAAGTTTTGCCCCCCACGCGTGATAATCATGTAGTGGATATTAATTAGACGGCATTCCATCTTATGGATATTATGTGTGCTAAACAATATCAGGTGTGGAACGAGTTGAACGACAATTAATACAGGGGTTACCTGAGGCTTATCGGAAAAATCTCCTTCATCACAAGTTTATCATGGCTACAATTTTACAACTTTTTATCGAAAATATGAAATTGAATTGTTTTGTTGCATTGTCTTTTAAAATTAAATAACTTTTAAATAATCCGTACCGTATTACTCAAGTATCAACATGTGCTTAACAAACACTTTGTAATTAATTGAATAAAATATTTTTGTTTTTTAATTGTATACTATACTTAATATTGCTCTACTACTCCACAAAAAAAATAAAAAATAAAAAATCTGAATTCACACTTAAAAATTTTGTCAAAAATGTTTCACTGGTTGACCTTGACCATTGTGTGCGTTGTCAAAGGGCTAAATCTGTACTTCTAGATCTAAGACTATGACAAAGTCGTGGTTGCCACTTGCTAAGTTGCTATGTCATATTATTAAACATAAACTAATACCAACTTGTAAATATTCCTAGTCCTCCGCCACACTTCATTCTTTTTTATTTTAAGGAAATACTTCATTCTTCTTTACTTCTTACATCCAATTGCTATAAATTCTTGACCAAAACATTAGATTTGATTAATTTAAACGGATATTTTTTTAGTGTTTCCTATTACAAATTTCATCATAAAATTATCTTTTTAAATCCAATTATCCTTTAAATCCAATTATCCTTTTAAGAAAAATGGGGTTCACGTAATTTAATACATTTTACAATGGGGTGATAGGTTGTTAGGAGTATATTTTAGTGGGTCGTATGCCCATGTGCTTTAAATAAGGAAGATAGTACAACTTTTCCCTAAAATAACTTTCCAATTATAGTGAGTAACAAGTATTGGGAAACTGATTTTGGCACACCTATTATTGATATTGGCACACCTCCATCTGAGAGGGATATAGAAAATTGTGCTCTCACAATGGGTGTGCCTAAATCACTTTTTGGTGTGCCAAAATCATTTCCGCAAGTATTGTGACATTTCTATTTTAGGAAAGTGTTGCAAGTATTTAAAAACGGAGGAAGTATTAATTATTATTAAAACAAAACATTGATGATATCATTAATCCTCAAACTATCTTACGTGTCATTTTTACATTAAAATCAATTCTACGTGTGATGTCATCAATTATTAATGATTTATTTTTATTATTATTTTTTTAATCTACACTTTTGACTTCAATG